ATCCAGGATCTATAATTTTACTTGGTACAAATGCAATTAAATATTTGCATCTGAATGCAATTTGAGATCTAATCTAAATGATGAATACCAAGCCATTAATGTTTTGATTATAGGGCAGCTAGGATGTTTCACAGTGTTTTTCCTCATCCCCTTTAATTTCATCTTTTTAAGAAAATAACTTTAAAATCACCTTAATTATTGGTGCGGTTCAGTTGCCCCCTCCAAACTTCTCATTATCATAATACTTGCAATAATTATAATTGTTCCTATTATTTGGCATACATATGGACACCATAGTGTTCTGTCTACTATCCCAACTGACAGATATATTTTTTAAAAGAACAGTACAGGTAATCCTCAACTTACGGCCACAATAGGGACCCAAATTTCCAATCAACAGGTGACCAGACCTGATTATAACAACCATTTTTATCTCAGTCATGATTCAAGTCACACAGTCACAGGTCTGAATCCAACTTCCCCAATAGCATTTTTTTTTACCAGAAACAAGCAAAAAAAAAATATTACAAATCATGATTTTGGCATGATGCAACCAGTCATAAATGCAAACTGGTTGCCAGGTATCTGCATTGCAGTCATAACTGTGGAGATAGTGTAATAGTTGTAAGTTCAAATTTAGATTGTAAGTGTATCTCCCCCTCAGCCATTGGTAATTCAAACCATTGTTAAGCAAATGTTTGTACTTCAAGAATTATTGTAAGTATTAGTTTCAGCATCCCTATGGCAATGGGTTCTTCTCAGCGAATTGTGAAGTTGCTGGTATTGCTCCAATTATTAATGTGGGAATCAAATTCAGAACAAGTATTTAAACAGGTAATTGGTAAAGGGTTAACCTACCAAGCTTAACAGGCAGTTTCAACAAATAACTGTAATATTGGATAGAAATATTACGTAAATGTCTAATAGAGGGCTTGCAGGCTTTCTCCTCTAAATAAATTTCCCTTGGGTCATTTCACACAAGATGCCAAGTCCAATCTGAGTTTGCCATAGAGTGTGCAGCCCTGCAGTCAATTGTGTCTTCTAGCATCACAAACCAAATACCTCATGGTCATTATGTTTGTAAAGTATGTTTTTACCTCTTCACTTAAAAACATCTTTGCTACACTCCTGGAATGTAACAGGGTGAAGAGGTCTTTGGTGATCTCTCTGGCACTATGAATGTGAGTTTGAGAATTAAAACTGTACAATGGAATTAAATTAGTGTTTTCTAATGAAGGTCAGGTATTGAAAGAACAAAAGCATACAAAAGAAAGAGAGAGCAGATTGCAACAGTGTAACAAATATATTTCATCACTTAAGCTTATATTTTCCAACTATAGACATGCTACATTTACTTTAAGACACAGGGGTGTTTTGTTTTGCTTCCCACCCTTCTATTTTTCTTCCTAGGTATTGTGTAGATTGGGCAGCTGTTATTGTAAAGGTACAGTAGCTGTGTTGCCAGAATTCAGAATCTAAGTGATCAATGGGTTGGATCAAAAGCTGGCAGTTCGTTACACAAAACAAGTCAGTAATTGGTAAACATACTTTCTGTCCTGGTACTAAATGCAAAACATAATTGATAGGCCAAATTCCATGCATGTTTTTACATGCACTCATGTTATATAAATACTGGCCTCTACTTAGAGAAAAGGAAGTTTTCTGCTATAATTCTCAGAAAAATCATCTCCCTGAACTCCTTTTCGTTCATCATAAACCAGCCAATTTATCTGTCCAATAGGAGAGCCCATCGTTCCTTAATTAAGTTAGTCTATTCTATTTTCTAATAGCTCATGACAAGCTTCCAACTTTTAGCAGAAAACTTCGTCTGTCATTTCCACTTGTTAGATTTAGTCCTTTAGGCAACTACCAACTAGGAAGCTGCTTCCCATGTTAATCAGGGAGAACAGCATAATAGGAGAAAAAGAGTCCTTATTTGAGGAAGATGACCAGTTCAGAAATGTGAAAAATAAATATTTTTTTTTTAAGGGACATCAACAACTTCAGAAGAAATAGCTGCTTTATTTGTTTATTTAATGTATTTGTTTATATCCTGCCTTTATCTTTTTTTATAAATAACTCAAGGCAGTGAACATAGCTATATACTCCTGCCTCATTTTTTTCCCCCATAACAACAACCCAGTGAGGTGGATTGGGTTGAGAGGGAGTGACGGGCCCAAAGTTACCCAGCCAGCTTTCAGGCCTAAGGTGGGACTAGAACTCACAATCTCCTGGTTTCTAGGCCAGCGCCTTAACCATTAGACCAAAACTAACTTTCTGTTGAGACAGAATCCCAACAAGATCTAAGGTTTAATACCTTGGTTTGCTTTTTCCCCTCCTCTCCAGTATCAATATCAATCTCTCCAGAAAGTTAGCTTTCTAATAAATGGGTATTTTGTGACTGGCCCTGCTCACTATGACATCCCTTTTAGAACAGTGACACACCCTCAATGACAGTCTTTTGTGAGTGCGCCAATGATAAGCCTCTGGCCCTAGCAAATTGCTTACTCTTGTTGCACGGGATTCAAGAAGCTTTTACCAAAATGTAGTTATCTGTAGTTCTGGTTGCAACTGCCAAAAATGGGCAGTGATCCCATTTTTCAAATACAGTTTTCTTCAAGTACAGGAATCTTAATTGCGGCTATCACAGCAGAAAGAAAAGGGAGGTCTAAGGCAGGGGTGTCAAACTCAATTTCACTGAGGGCCGCATCAGCATTGCAGTTGCCCTGGGGGGGGGGTTGGTGTGGCCAGAGTGGGTGCAGCCTACTGGGTGGGCATGGCCAGAGTGGGTGTGGCCTATTGGGTGGGTGTGGCCAGTTCTACATCATTCAAATGGGGGCCTGGGCAGGAGTGGGACAGTTCTGAGGGTCTCTTGCAGACGGGGGTGGGACCAGGGCAAGTGCCAAGACATGGTCCACCAGGGCAAGTGCCAAGATGGCCACCATAAAATTGTACATTGGCTCCCGGCTGGCCTGGGCCAGGGCCAAGGCAGCGGGGGCTGTTCCCTCACTGTTTCCAGGATGGTTTCGTGGGCCACATGAAACCACTTCGCGGGCCACATCCAGCCCCCGGGCCTTGTGTTTGATATGTCTGGTCTAAGGGAATGAAAGACTCTCAATTTACTGATGCATTAAGTATCCTATTACTGTGTAAGATGGGAAAGAAAGGGGGGATTGTCTGAAATTTTCTCCCCTCCTTTGCTGCAAAGGCTTTTGCTTTTTTATCAGTTTGGGTTTCCCCTTTCCTGTGAAAATTATAATTAAGGTTGCGATTTCATGCTTTATTTTTTTTTAGGCACTAATAACTCTCTCAAACTAATTTCTTATCACTGATTCTTAAAAAGGCCATAGTTGGATTTTTCATATGCTTTGAAAATTGTGAAATTATCTATTCTGGCATTATTATAATCCAGTAGAGAGTGTAATTGGGGTTCTGAGAGTCAAATGCTCCTCTGCTGTAAAAGGAAGGCAAAGAAGAAGCAGAGCCCTGTGCAGCTGCTTACATCAAATGACCCAGATATGCATCTTCTTCATTGCTTTTCCACAATCAATTGAGGGAGGATTGTTCAATTGAAGATGGCATATCTGCAGTTGGACTGTTTCATTTCAAATTGAGGGGATCTCACAAGTTTGAGTGCTCTGCTAATAAAACTTGAATATGGAATTGGAAAGCTGAGGTGAAGGAAAGGTCTCAAGAGTTCTCCTTATTATATAGCCCAATTCAGAAGTTCACCCTCACTCCAAGTGCCTAGAAGTATGCATAGAGGCAGGCAGAATGAACTTCCCTTCAACCCTGCTTTCTTGGCCACTTCCTTCTTGCCAGTCCTCAGAGCCCTTCAGGAATTGTTTATTGTGGAAGCCATCTCTATTCTCTGTACTTAAAATTCTTGTCATGCCTGTCATTATAGGAGAAATATATAAGGAAAACATATAAGGTAAGGTTGATGGAATTGGGTATGTCTAGTTTAATGAAGAGAAGGACGAGGGGAGACATGATAGCAGTGTTCCAATATCTCAGGGGCTGCCACAAAGAAGAAGAAGTCAAACTATTCTCCAAAGCACCTGAAGGCAGAACAAGAAGCAATGGATGGAAACTAATCAAGGAGAGAAGCAACCTAGAACTAAGGAGAAACTTCCTGATAGTTAGAACAATTAACCAGTGGAACAACCTGCCTCTAGAAGTGGTGAATGCTCCAACACTGGAAGTTTTTAAGAAGAAACTGGACAGCCATTTGTCCAAAATGGTATAGGGTTACCTGCCTGAGCAGGGGATTGGACCTGATGATCTCCAAGGTCCCTTCCAACTTTTTTTTTTTATTATTATTATTACTACTACTAGTAGTAGTAGTAGTATAACTAGTATTACTACTACTACCACTACTACTACTATTATTAAATAAAGCTAGCAGGTTGGATTGCTGTTAGAAATGCCTTCAAGAATTTAGTGGGTAGGGCATGCCTGTTTATTTCTTAGATAAGTGCCTTCTTTCATTTAGTGTATAGATAGAACATAGGTCAGCAACCCGGCCATATACTATTTTCCCGCCTTGTGTTTCAGCCCCCCACCCTCAGATTATCATTTAGGAGGCTCAAAATGCCAAAAACTAAAGTTATCATGAGAATCTTGATATTGAAATGCTGTCTCTCTTATATTGTCTTTCTTTTCAGACACAATTGCACCCACAATTTCATAGGAGACTTATTGACTTGCAAAGTGATTGTTTAATAAATGTTTTCTTGGGTTGCAGACTGACTGCTTAAATATGGCCTTTCCTCTTCATATGGTATAATATTGTATAACTTCAATGTTTTTAATAAGGTTTTTTTAAAATAAATAAATCCTGCTCTTTGCCATTCCAATCCTTCATATTCTTAGGTTCACAGGAAAAACATGAAAAGAAGGGGTAACAGAAAGCTTTGCTCTATTCTGTGTAGAGTAGCTGTGATTATTTATCACCTGAAATCTCCTGTCTAATTAAATTTTATGTATTTTATTTCTAGGTGCAAATATTGGAAGCTCTCCAACAAGCACAGATATTGCAGTCATTGGAGGTAAGAATACAACAAAGACTATATTTCATCAAATAGTTTTTTGGAAGAAGTGAAGCAAGACTTTCCATCTTTAACCAAAACAAAAAGTATTCTCCACTGAATGAAGGTTTTTTTTTTTTTCCCTAAGAAAAATTAATGGTGTGTTGCTATGTAGTTCTATCAATGGAGTGGGAGATGAGTTTACTGGCACCACCCTGTCTATAACCTTATCACCGAACCCTGCTACCGTCCCCATATTATAGGAAAAGGAGTAAAATAGATAACTTGTTCCACAAAACTATCTCCTGGTACATACTGGGAGCCTCCACATAAAATAGAAAACAGATATGGAGGTGAAAGATATATTCTCTAGTTTTCCGTTACATCTATACGAACACTTAAAATTTCCCAATGTATAGTTAAATTCATGAAGACATGAAAAAGAGAGAGGAGCAATAATTCAGGCTTCAGATATTACAGAACAAATTGAGAAATGCCGCTGTAGTATGGAAGCTCAACTAAGACACTATGAGACATTTTATATTCCAAAATATTGGCAAACTATCCCCTTGAAAAATGGAATGTTTTAGAAATCATATCTATCTATCTCTTTATCCCCATATATTAGTAGAAATATTAGGAAATAAAGATCCTTTGAAATTACTTGTTGAAAGTAATGGAATGAACAAGAGAGAGAACATTGTTGGAAGCATAATCAGAATGCTATATACAGTTCTTCTTCCCTTAAGCTCTCAAGTGTGATACAAGTATTACATCATGCTCCATGTATGGGGTTTTATATGACTTCCACAGGATATTTATTTTTACACAGTGTATATCCTGTGTGCTATTTTCTGTTACATTCATAACCAGGAGGCACCATGTAGAATAACATTTTGGCTACCAGTGTCTGAAGAGTCCCAGTGAGGATGAAGGTGATCACACGATGGGCATCTTTTCAATATAACCAAATGTTTTTTGAAGGTAGCTGTAATCATCAATTCATACTGTTTATTATAGGATGGAACATTATGAGTTTCTGCCCTCACCAGGGGAATGAACAGCATTTGGAAAAGATTTTGATAATTGCATCCCTGAATCATACTAAGAAACACAGGTTATGTGAAAAAGGCATTTAATCAAGACAAGGCAGCTGGAGAAAAACAGCCAGTAGTGTAAAATAAATTAAGACTGCTGATTAAAAAAAAATGCTTGTAGATGGGGCAGCTGAAAAGCATAGCTAGTAAAAGAAGAGCAAGACAACGTAGACAAACAATTGGCTGAAAAAATGTTGTTTTTTTAAAAAAAAAGGTAAGATGGTCTAGAGCAGGGGTCCCCAACCTGTGGGCCATGGCCCACTACTGGGCCGTGGCTGCATGGCCACCAAGCCGCGTGAAGGCCAGTACACACGTATACACTCACACCACTCGCGCTAGCAGCGAGCATCCTGTCGGCACTACTACTGCCCCATCCCCGAGTGTCTGCCAGCACTAGCATTGCCCTGCTCCCGAGCGTCTGCCGGTGCTACCGCCACCCTGCCCCCAAGCGTCCAGTGTTTCCTTGCCCTCCCCTGAAAGGTACCAATCCAGCCACTCTAGAGTTGATTAGCTTTTTTCTGGAAATGGTTCTTTGAGAAAAGGAAGTGATTTGTCTTGTTCTGGTTGTTTTCTGGCCCTCAGATAGGTGTATTCTGAAGATATCATCAGTGGTAATGAAGCTTCAGGGAAATTAAAGAAGAAAAAGCAAATAAAATAGAGGACAGAAAAGTTTCCTATTTCTTTAATCCTAAAATAGTGGAAATCCAAGCATTTTAAAAAAGATACAAGAAACCTGTTTATACTTGTACCTTATATAATAATCTTGAAAAAGAGAGAGAACTGTTAATAGAAGAGTACTTTGTTGTTTGGTTAGAATATGACTAAAGAGTTGATTAGCTACTTCCATAAAAGGGACATAAAAGCTATAAAACCAAGGAAATGAAGGAAGGAGTAAAGAAGGATAAATAAAGTTGAATATAGAAAAAAAGAGGAAAAGGGAAATTACAGTATATCTAAAACAAAAGAAAAACGCATCTCTTGATAATCCCTTCCAACATGATACACATTCATCCTGTTATTAGGCAGAAGGAATTTTTCCAATGTGCCTCTTTAATAGTGAAATTGTTAAAAACATTTTTGTCAGTCAGCTTTTCCTCTCAACAATCAGGAGACAGAATACAACAGGGGTGTCAAACTGCTGGCCCATGGGCCGGATGCGTCACACAGAAGCCGCGCCCACCCTAGCTCCAGCAAAGGGAAAAAAGTCACAATACGTTGCGACACATCATGTGATGCGGCGAGTTTGACACCCCTGGAATACAACATGCACCACATCTCAGATAACTATGCTGCCAGGGAAGATAAACGAGAGAGGCAACGGTGTCATAATATATAAACTTCTAGCTTATTTATGTTGAGGTGCTAGCAGCAGTATCTTAAAGGATATTTATCTTGGGTATATCTAGTTTAACAAAGAGAAGGACAAGGGAGGACATGATAGCAGTGTTCCAATATCTCAGGGGCTGCCACAAAGAAGAGGGAGTCAAGATATTCTCCAAAGCGCCTGAAGGCAGGACAAGAAGCAACGGATGGAAACTAATCAAGGAAAGAAGCAACCTAGAACTAAGGAGAAACTTCTTGACAGTTAGAACAATTAACTAGTGGAACAACTTGCCTCCAGAAGCTGTGAATGTTCCAACTGGAAGTTTTTAAGAAGATACTGGACAGCCATTTGTCTGAAATGGTATAGGGTTACCTGCTTGAGCAGGGGGTTGGACTAGATGACCTCCAAGGTCCCGTCTAACTTTATTATTATTATTATTGATCATTGCACAGTCAGCCAGATGTTCAGACTGGATTTGGCATTTTGTCTACCTATCGAGTCCTTACCCAGGACCTGGGATAGGCAGATGTGGATGTTTGATGGTATTACAGATATCGTCGCAGGATGGAAGCAGTTCCTAATAAGGCTGCCTTTTGCAATTGACTAATAGCGAATTTGTCAATGCCAATGGTGTTCAAGTGGTGCTCCAGTTGTTTTGGGATTGCACCCAAGGCACCTATGACTATTGGTACTACCCTTGCTTGCTTTTGCCACAGTCTTTCTATTTCTATTTGTAGGTCTTTGTATTTTGTTATCTTCTCCAGTTCTTTCTCTTCTATTCTGCTATCTCCAGGCACTGCCACATCCACTATCCAGACTTTTTTGTCTTTCTTATCGACAATTGTTAAGTCTGGGGTGTTATGTTGCAGGTGCTTGTCTGTTTGAATTCTGAAGTCCCAGAGCAGTTTAATTTTATCATTTTCTATGACTTTCTCTATTTTATGATCCCACCAGTTTTTGCTTACAGGCAAATGATATTTTTTGCAGATCTTCCAATGCACCATTGTTGCTACTTTGTCATGTCGCTGCTTGTAATCAGTCTGTGCAGTCTTCTTGCAACAGCTTACCAAGTGGTCCACTGTTTCTTCAGCTTCTTTGCATAGGCGGCACTTACTGTCTGTTGCTGTCTTCTCAATTTTGACTTTATATGCATTTGTCCTTAAGGCTTGGTCTTGTGCAGCCAGAATTAGTCCCTCGGTCTCTTTCTTCAATTTTCCTGCTCTTAGCCATTGCCATTATTATTATTATTATTATTATTATTATTATTATTATTATTATCATCATCATCATCATCATCAACATCATCATCAACATCATCATCATCATCATCATCTATACCACAATAAACTAGCAAATCAAATCAAACCTGGCATAAATAATTATATATTACTGCTACAGCTGTGCTGGTTACTTTGGGGCAGATATGAACTATTTTTGAGAGAATTGGAATTGGAGATAAATAATTCAATTGTTTGGCTGAGCCCATCGGATGATCAGAAAAGTAGCATGTAATCGTTTCTTCCAGTCTTGCGCAATTCTTAAAACTCCTACCAATACTTTGACAAGCTCTCCTGCTATTGCTGATTTGCTAAAATGGGATGCCTCAGTCAATTTCTGGTCTATTTTGTTTCTGGTTTTACAGGACCCCAGATATTATTATCCCAAAGCTTTACAATGTTACGCCTCCTCTTCTTCTTCCTCCAGCTACTTCCTTCTCCCCACAAGTCACAGGAGACAAGGTTGATCAACTGTCTATAAAAAAAATTGTTCCCTGGTGAAAACTGCCAAGGCAGAATACAGCAGTTGAATTCTAATCTCATTAGCACCTTGTCATGATAACTGAAGTTGATTGCTCAAATTACTCCCCAAAGAAGTATTTGATGTGTTAACGTGAATGATTTGATTCTTTTTGTTTCAAATGCATTTGCTGATTTTTATGCTTGTTGTTTGCAGCAATTAATTTACCTATAGTAGTTCAGTTTAATGTAGTTCTATGTTCAGGTAGTCCTCAACTTACAACATTTCATTTAGTGGCCATTTGAAGTTAGAACGGCACTGAAAAAGGTGACTTATGACCATTTTTCACACTTATGACCATTGCAGCATCCCCATGGTCACATGATTTACATTCGGATGCTTGACAACTAGTTCATTTTTATGATGGTTGCAGTGTCCTGGGGTCATGTGATCCTCTTTTGTGACCTTCTGACAAGCAAAGCCAATAGGGAAGACAGATTCAGTTAACAACTGTGTTACTAATTTCACAACTGCAGTGATTGACTTAACAAATGTAGCAAGAAAAGTCATAAAATGGGCAAAACTCACTTAACAAATTTCTTATTTAGCAACAATTTCTGGGCTCAGTTGTGGACGTAAGTTGGGAACTACCCGTATTTCCCTTTTGGTCTATCCTCCAAAATATTAATTTCATCATTCTGTAAGTTATTAGGAAAATACTGAATTGTTCTATATTCCTGTGCAGTATCTAAAGAGCATTACAGGCTATTGTGTTTGGGGAGTCCACTGTAAACCTTAAGAAAAATGATGAATTCTGTGTGAATTGAATCACATTATTTTAATATAGTCAATATCTTAACAGAGGTTCTAATGTTAATTATTGTGAGCTTGCTTTGAGATCTCAGGAGAAAGAGTGTTTTAGAACCCAACATTTGGGCTGTGCAACCCTTTGAAAGCGTGTTGCACTCCAGAGATGCTTGAGCAAAGCACACTGCAAAGCAGTGTGTCTCCTGCTTCTGAAAAATGAAGTGAAGCTGCCATGGTGCTTAGATTCACATTGCTTCTGTGGGTTGAATGTGCCAGAAGAGATTTTGAAACAACACAGTGTTAAGCGATGAAGCACATTGCCTAATTGCTGTACCTTGTGAAAAAGAAACATGGCCACTTTGCACAGGCCTATTATTTCTAGCCTACTACGCCTGTTTCAAAAATCGAACTGCCCACATCTGGGAGTACATCACAACCAGTGAGCCAAATAAGAAGTGCTAGATCAATTTGTATGCAGGCTAGTTGGGTAGGCAGAAGTAAAAGAACTTGGTTGCTGAGCAACATCTGAGGAGGAAGACCATCTTTGCCTTTTGCAACATGCCTTATTTCGCTAAGTGTTTCTTACGTTCTCAACCAGCCTCTGATTTCCCACCTGGATTTTTTTACGATCCTCTGATTCACTCCATAAGTTGCCATGTATTTAGTCAGAGTTACGAAATGAGCCATTGGCAGGAATGGTGAAGAAATAAAATTGTATCAAATACCCACTATATCAGCAGCAAAATTAACGAGCACCTCCTGCTCATCTTCTACAAGCTGAACTGGGTTTACTCTCGATTAAAACTTGATCAGCTTTAACAATTTATGAATTTATTTCTTGAAATGAGTCTAAATTCTGGCTAGACAAGGCTTGGATTTCTTCATACAACAAAGTAGTTGGAACTTGCATTGGGTTATATAATCCTTACACAAATCTGTAACCAGTTCTCATTTAGACTTTTTTTTTTTTTAAGGCTCGGTTTTATACTGTAGCCCAGAAGTTCCCAACCCTTTGGGCACCAGGGAGCGGTTCCGTGGAGAGAGGTTTTTCCATGGACCGTAGGGTGCGTGGTTTTGTGTGCTGCCTGCATCCTGTGGATGGGGCTTTGCTTGTTTGTGTGGACCGGTTGCTGACATGCCGCGGACCGGTACTGGTCCATGGATGGGGGGTTGGGGACCCCTGCTGTAGCCTTCCTCAAGCTAGTCCTCTCTTGATGTCTTGGATAAGACAGTTAGAAAATATCAACATGTTTTCCCAAATAAGGATCAACTATAAGTTAACTAGAATGAAAACCAGGGCATCTTTGTGCTCCTTTGTTTTTGTTTTTTTGCAAATGCTCTTTCTCTCAGCCTATCCTTATCATTACAATATCAGGGCCCTTTGTTGATGTGGGGTTGTTATCTTTCTTTGAAAGTCCTAACAGAAGGCATCCATGTGGAATAAATCAAAACCGGGGCCAATGTGTTTGTGTATGTGGAGGGGGGGGGGGTGTTCTTAACATACTTGGAATTATTAATGGGAAAAAAAAAACAAATGTTTCTCCTTCCCTGTAGGTGTCATTGCAGCTGTGGTTTTAGTCTTGATTTGCCTCTTGGTGGTGATGCTGAGGTACATGTACCGGCACAAGGGTACCTACCATACCAATGAAGCAAAGGGAACTGAATTTGCCGAAAGCGCAGATGCTGCTCTGAAAAATGACCCTACCCTTCAAGATGCCATGGATGAGAACCGAAAAGAATATTTCATCTGAAAGCAAAGGCAGCACCCTTGAGACACCCTTTGTTTTTCTCTCCTTCACAAGGGTCAATGCATTTTTTTTTTTAAAAAAAGGCAGCAGGGTATGGAGATTACACAAAAGAGAAGAAGACGACTAATTGAAATATTGCTGTTTAACAACAGCAAGGACTGGATGCCAGATCTATAGCTGTTTATTTGATTAACCACATCGCTCAGTTCAATATCAGATAAACAGAAAGAAGTGTCTTAGGATGAATGATTTAACTGATAGCAGATAAAAGCATCAAATGTCAAATCCTGACATTTTGGAAAAATATCTGGGTTAATGGAAAGCCCCTTCATAGATATACTGATTCATCTCTATTGATATAATATCTTGAGGTGAATTTATAGCAGCAGGGGGAAAAAAACAAGCATAAAAAAAGAAGGTGGCCCAAGAATATTGGCCATCATTCATGTATCTTGGTTTTTCTTAACCTGCAAAAGCTTATCAATGTGAATATGCTTATTTGTTTGATCATTCTTTTTTTTTAAGAATGCCCTGAAGTTGTTTCTGCTTTGTTATGTTTTTTAAAACAATGTCCTAGCAATCCGATTCTCACAGGAAAAGACAGAGAAAAGTTTTAAAAATGAAAGAATGTCATTTCTGGATATTTCTTGCAGTGGTCATATCTAAGAGATAGGTTTATTGACTTCTTGACCTTTAATGCCATATCAATTATTTTGAACTTGTACTTTTATTTTAAATAGTAGAGCTCTCTACCTCCATCGGGTATTACCTGCTTAATGCTGAGAGTGATCTCAGTATTTAAACAGTAGCAGTTTAAATTCATTGAGGTAGTTCTACCTCAGCTGAGGGTGAGCTGTGGAAAAGAGAATTTTAGAAGCATATGCAAAACCAATCATTTAAGTTCACAAAGTCTTTTCTTCGACTTTGCCCGAAAATAGAATGAGATGCAGGAAAATAAAAGTGCTTGATTAGTATTAGTCTTACCCAAAATATTTCTCTCTCCTTCCCCCAGCAATCTGATTTTAAATTATGCCCAATTTCTGTGACTAATGTAATGTACTAGTCATTGTTAGCTGTCTGACAATTTCCCCATGATTATATTTTTGCTGGAGCTGTGGTTTACTAGAGGGGATTAGCGGTGTAGTTTTTGTAGGAACAATAGTACAATTGCAGTAATAATAGTTCAGTGTTTTTTTCTTCACTGCTCAAATTATAAGAAAGCCAGAGAGCTTTTATCTTTGAATTTACTGATGGCCTCCTTACTGTTGTTCTTAAAGAGTACAGGAGAATCATAAATTAGCAAAACAATGAAAGAACTCTGGAGCTGGGACATCTCTGGAGGGGATTGTGCATTTCATTAAATTTCTTTCTATATTTTGCCTCTGTTAACCAGTCCAGTCCAGTCCAGACTGACTGCTGTAGAAATTACTTTGGCAGGCCAATCCCCCCTCCCCCAATTCTGAGAAAAAGATCTAATTTTTATATGATGGGCCTTCCTAGTCTCATTTTAAAAATCCTGTACTAAATTATTATCTTCAGAAATGTTAGTTGCAGGTGGACAAATATGCTGTGTGACCAGGAAACTGTCAAACACATTAGATGCTTCTTCTCTTCAAGTTCATTTGAATTCAAGTGAGTCAGGTGGTAGCAGATTTGGGATCACACTGAAGTATGGATGGAGTTTAGATGTACATACAAACCCTTGTGAGACAAAACCATACAACAAGCTCAATTCCTGATAATATCAAGGTCATATCCATATAGCTTTCCTGGTAACTACTATTCCTCCTCCTGAGGTCTGTTTTCATCTTCCTGACTTAATCCCATGTTGGGATTTCATATTGATCTTATTTCTAGGCTTATACATAACCATAGGAAAATCAGTTTCTGAATGTGTATGATTTTTCAGTGTCCAACATGATTTTTTTTAATCACAGCCTCTTCATTTATAACACATTGCTGTTCTGTTGACAACTCTGACCCAGGGTCTGCATCTTTCTGGTGATCAGAATTATATTTAATTCCTGGGAGTGGCGAGAGTAATTAAGTACCATAGTGAATAAACAGAGATGGAAAATAGGAAAAACAATGTTATTCACTTTGGGAAGCTGTCATTTTCCAGATTTATTATTTTACTTCCCTCCTGATTTTGGTTTCTTTGTTTTTCCTAACAGCTACTCTTAAAGAAAAATTAAGCTTCTTATAGAGCTCATATAATGTTTTTATTGTGTTTTCTGCCTTAATATAATGAGAATCTACCTTGACGATTTTAATAATTGTGCCATCAAATTTATAACAGGATAGTTCAAGGAATTCCAAGTCTGCCAAAAGGTGCCTTAGTTAGCCTACCTCTGCTTTAACCAAAGAAAAAAGTTCAAATGGCTTAACTCTCTCTCTCTTGTCTCTCTTTTTGGAATATTAAAATATAGGTAAATAATTTAATTTCCATTGGTTTTTTTCAGACATGTTTTTAAAAACTTTTGTGTGCCACTGTTTGTTTCCATTCATGGTGAACAGTAGCTTGGGAGAGGAATCTTTCTCACTCCTTATTTTCAGGATTATACAACAAAAGACTAACCTCTATGGAATACTAAACACACACACACAAAAAAAAATCAAAACACATGAATTGAATTACTCCTATATAATAATCACATTTACTTATTAGCCAACAGGAAAATCACAGAAATATTTTTTTTCCCTTTTTTGGCATTTGGTAAAACATGGTTAAAATTCTCCATGCAATTGGTTCAAGAACTTTACTTGCACATCATTTTCTTTATCACTTGGTTTATTTTTAAAATAGTTATATAGAGAAGACTATATTTCTAATGTATAGATATACATTAATAAATAATTCTAATTTAAATAGAAATATAGTACATCTTACTATAATGGGAAAGGTGTTCCGGGATTATATACTGGAATCCTTTTCATCTCTGAAGTGTTGCAGTGCAGACATATCTTTTTCCAAATGCAATTAATAAGTAAGTATTAATTAATGCAGTACTCACTACATGTCTAATTATTTGATTTCATTTTTATTTATTCACTTTTTATCCTGACACAATCCAATGATTCTCAGTGCCCTACGTGATACAGTATGGAAAACTTTAAAAGATCTGTGATAAAACCTTGAAATAACACAATCTAACAATAGGAATTTTAAAAACCTAATAATTGATAAATAAAAAAGTTAAAGAGGGCCAATATAAGTAATATAAGTAGAACATTCTCTGGAACATACAGTATTTAAAGCCTCATCCTCAATAGGTTGAGCCAATTCTGGTTGGATCCTGCAGGTATCCGCATACCAAGACATGAAGGATTTTATTTTATTTTGAAAGTCAAAATCATACTTTAAATGTACTTGCAAACCAACTGAAATCATTTATAGGAACTACAGCCTAAGTGCAACATACTCTTAACCAGTGCTTTTTTTCTAAAAAAAAGAAAAGAAAAAAGCACACACGTCATACAACCCGCCATGCCTACCCTACAAGGTTCCATCCAAAAAAGGTGCCGGAACTCCGTTCTGGGCGTTCTATGAGAAAAAAAGCCCTGCTCTTAACATTAAAAGCTGTAGCACAGAAGGCACAACATCAGCGGTTCAAATCTCACCGGCTCAAGGTTGACTCAACCTTCCATCCTTCCGGGGTAGGTAAAATGAGAACCCAGATTGTTGGGGGCAATGTGTGTATATATATATATATATATATATATATATATATATATATATATATATATATATATATATATATATTGCTTACTGGTGTACACCGCTTAGAGAGTGCTTGCACTTAAAGTGGTATATAAGTCTCATAAATAAATAAATAACCTCGTATACAGTAGTCTAGTAGGGTGGTAATAAGACTTGCACCAGATAAAGTCACAAATATCTTTAATAATGGCTTCTATGTACTACTGAAGCAGAGCTATAAGTCCAGAAGGGCCCTCAAATTGTGAGCCAGTTCCTGGATAGATGCCTACCCATCCAGAAATAACACTAATTACAAGAAAGAATTCCAAAGTGCAAGCAAGTCTTGCTTCAGTTCAGGATAGGGTATTCAAGAATCTTCCATACAGTCAGCAGTAGTGTTTTAGATTGGGTAACAACTATATACCACGCTCCAAATTTTGGATAACTTCTCCCAGCAACTTTGTATAGAGTTGCTGAGAGTTGGGCAGCAGATACAGTGTTGTCGCTACTTGGAGGAATAGAAGACAAAGGGCTGACCCTGGCAGTACTCAACAAGATAAACGCCAGTAAGCTAACTTCTCACACCCTTTGAAATGGGAAGGGTGAAACAATGCCTCCAGTCTCCATTTGTAGGCAATCCAGGAAGATAGCATAGTCAATAGTATTGAACAGCACAGAAAACACACTACCTATTTAGCTCCTGATAAAGGTAATCGATTACAGCAGTCAATGCCATCTCAGTCCCACACGAAGGGTTGAACCCTGCCTGAATATGTCCAAGACAATATGCTTAATCTAGGGTGCTGTTTTGCCATCAAAATCCATCTCAACTTTCATACAAGACAGCCCTTTCCCACTCTGATTCTGTGATATATTCATATATTTTAACTGGGAGAAAGGTGCAAACACATCATAAACCACCTACACTGTTATGAAAAAAGTGGTGAGATTGCCATTTCAAATTGCTTGTCTTGAAGTACATCTATGCCAGGATTTTTTTAAAAAAAATACCAATCTTACAATGATTCACAGCTGCATACTTAGCAAAGAGGCACATTAAAAATGCCTTTTTAAAAGCCAAAATACTCCAGTTCCTTTTTCCACAAGCTGAAGCCAAAGAAATAGTAGGGGAAAAAACATGTAAAATACATGATGCAGTTTTAAAAGCATTTTTATCATTAGACTAGAAAAACTAGCTCTTCATTACAGCACAGTTGCAAAATCTGAAAAAGCATAACATAGGAGGAAAGAATATTAGTTAAATTCATCGCCTTGAGTTGTTTATTAAAAGAAATTAATAAAGGTGGGATATAAATAGGAGAAGATGGAATATAGAGGGTGAAATGGTGCCTGGAGAATAACTGGGGAGTGTATCAAGTGGGTATGAAGTCCCATTTCCAGATAAAATGATATTGATAAAATGTATACCTATTGGTAAAATCCATACCTAATGGTAAAGTTCATACCTATTCTGGGAGATGTTAAGAGACTGAGTAACTCAATTCTTTACCCTGAAACTGGGGCAGGACTGGACAACCTTCAGTTGGGGGGCTGGTTGATATGGATTGTCCTTTTTCAGTCCTTCAGATATCTTCTATAAAGCAAGAAACATGGCCAGCCTAATAAAACAGGTTAGCCGTGGTTTCCCTATCCATTAATCTGGTTCCATCTGGAAGCCAAAGGTTCTATTTTTCTTTACAGAATTTGTGCCCTGCTTGGTTAAAAAGTATGTCATTTGAAATATGATTGGGTTGAGCTCTATAGTGAATCCTTGGCTTGAAGTCATTTGAGCCATGTGGGTCATATATTTCTGAGGTTCAGTTTATCTTCATTTCCTCCTCTTGTCATAGTGAACTGACATGTTTGAGGGCTGTGAGCCTCAACAGAAGATACCGGTACGTAATTGGTTTTTAAGAAGGTAAGAAGTCCCTGGTGGTTAAGCACTTCCATTATTCTGCAGCTGCTCAATGAAGGAGAAAGATATGCAACTCAAGTGCCAAGGGCATTTCTGGTCCAGATGTTTCCAGCCTGAGGGAATATCATAATTGAATGTTTAGGTAAAGTTTAGGATTAATGTGTATAGAGAAAGCAATCTGGCTGGATTTTTGTTGCAGTGGATTGTTTTCCCAATGTTCGCTTTCAATGAACTAAAGAAAAAAAAAATCTGGTATCAGAGATTCAAGATTCCTAGTGCAGTGAAAATGAATGTCAGGAAAAAAAATAGACGTATTGGATTTTATTTCAATATGGCCATATATTTTTAGACCTTCAGTTAATCAGAGATTAAGAGAGCTTTGTTAACTGAGTAAACTGAGATCTGTGATGATTTCCTATTATTCTTTTATGTTGCTTTGTCTTAATCCAAAGTAACCAAATAGGCTGTGGAACTGAAATTTGCTCTGCGTTAATTAAGGGGGTAAAATAGAAACTAATGGCAATGATCAAATTCATGTGGATTTTTCTAAACCTGAAATTCCTGCAAATAGAAAGCAAAGGGAAAAAAAACTGGGCAATACTACTCTCTGATGTATTTACTTTTTTACTTGCAGGGAATTATTTGAATAAGAAAAATATTTAAATATGGTATCAGCCACCTAGGCAGTGTTTCCCAAACTTGACAATTTTAAGGCATGAGGACTTCAACTCCCAGAATTCCACAGCCAGCGTTGCTGGCTGTGGAATTCTGGGAGTTGAAGTCCACATGCCTTAAAATTGTCAAGTTTGAGAAACACTGAGTCCTAGAGGATGAAGTGATCTTACCTACCTTGCCACCTTGTGATCCTGTCACTCAGAATAAAACATTGCAATTTCTGAAGACAGAAGCCTGACATTTTCCCACCTTTTGGTTGAAAAATGTGGGGTTATTTTTCTTTTCCTTCAAAAGACAGAGAAAACAAAGATGTTAAAGTCAATAGTAACTCTTTCTAAAGTTGTTTTTAAGTTCCCTTGTAAATATTTTCCTTCCATATAACCAATAATTGTAATTGACCACTATATAAATGGCTAACACGGTCATTTGAAAATACTTGGTTTTACAGGGTGTTGAATATTTATATCAAACAGCTTTGAAAATGTCTCCTGTTTGGAGAAAATTAGAATTAAGGGCTAAATACAGCCTAAAATGAACAGTCTGCTATCCACCTACCCAGCAATCTTTCTTCCCACTGCTGAGATAAAGTGCTAACCTGTTGTAGAAAACATTATCAGCATGAGCATTAGTTATTTACTCTATTTGTGCATGGTCAAATCAATAAAGAATCATGACATTTTATAGCAATCCAGTAAAAATGTGCAACCTCTGCAGTAAGCGTTATTAAAATCAAAATTGTAACCAGTAGAAAATGATAACAATAGCAAATAACACACCTGAAGTACAAAACCCAAGTGAAACCCAGCTGCTAAAGGGAAATTTAAAAACGGCAGCAATTCAATCTGCAGAAAAGGCTCATCTTAAGCAGCTGCTGGAACATAGCATAGCGTGAGCTTTAAGTCTCAAGGGAGGCTAATTACTTAAATGTATTGGCCACCCGACTCCAATGGACTCTATTCTATCCCTCTGGAACAGCAACTGAGAAACGGCACCCCTTGCCTTGTAAAAGTAGAAGCAGAGGTTTAACCCAGAAAGGGCTGGTTCAGAGGAGAATTTATGCAGACAAAACAACAGGAATAGAAGAAAAAGAGATGTAAACAATAAAGAGACAAGATGAGATCAATTTGAAGCTTGTGTCATAAATAGGGATGC